GATATTTTCACGAAATCTGCGAAGTTTTCGTAAAAATATCTTAATGGAAAATATCGTTGTTCAATCCCAATTGAATTTCTGATCACCTTTTCCTCATAAATAGCCAAAGAACGAATGCGATTGCTGATTCCGCACTGGAAAGAAACCCAAGCCAAATGACTGAAGCAATAAAGTTTATGTAGAAAATGCACCTTATGTAAGGTTATGCTATAATTTAAAGAACTCAACGTTGTCCAATCCTAATTTCTCACTTGCAGTAGTGAAAACGTTTTGAATAAATGTTCCATAAATAGTCGCTGATTTCTTGATGCAACGACCAACAATTAGATTCAATCATTCCTCTTCGCTTTGAGGAATTGAATAGGAAATTCCAAATTTGGCCAATTTTACAAGGTTGAATGGCAATTACTCATTGTGAATTCAGGATGTTACTCGTGTCCTCCATCCTTGGACGGTCGTTCTGCGAACCTTCAATATTTGAGTAGCACATCGATTGCATCTATTAAAGATGGCTGTACGGATGAAAAACCGAGAAGTTGCACGTTGAAACGAACAATTCGCGAGATCGAAACTGGTACCTTGAATAAGTGAGTGAACACAATTGATATTCGATGTCAAATGAATTGCCTATATAAAGCAATATTATGAAACTGTGCTCCTTAAAGAAGTTCCCTTCTATATTCACAATAAAGTTAGGACAGAATATGGTTTATTTTTGAAATGCTTTAGGTACGTCGAATGAAAACTGAACTAGTCATATAGTTACCACCAACGCGAACGAAACCTTTCTCCAATTATTCAAAAAATTTAGGAACTGATTGATGCGCTAGCCATATTTCAGGGCAAAGCTCTCCAAGTGGCCATCAACATCGGATTGTCAGCAAAAGTCTAGGGATAATCAAGCCGACAAGGGGAATCTGAAAGAGAATAAAAAGCGACATCTCTCTAAATCGTCAATTGTACTATCATCACCGTCGTGATCGCTTGCATTCAAAAAAATTTCCACAAAGAAAGATATCACCATTGTTTTTCAAGTGATTCCAACGGTCTCCATCCAAAAAG